CAAGAATACATTGTGAAATATAACCCAGAAGAGTCCCCCTTGTGGCTTCTGTTATAAATTGTCGTGACAAAATAGAAAGGACAATTTATATAATAATTAATTAGCCAATTTTTAAGCCAATTAAAAAGCCAATTTTTATTAATTCAGCAAGCAGTAAAGCAAGCAAAAACCCAGCTGGGGGCGAGCTGGAGGACACTTCCTCTTAAGTGTCCTGCACATGGCGCGCGCCTTGGCTGAGGAGGTTCCCTTTTTTATACAGTCCCTGCATCTGTGTCTTCCTGGATCGCATCAGTACCTGCGCCTCCTGTTGCTAGGGGGTCTTCTTCTGCCTCTTGGTGGTCGTGGGTAGGCAATTGTCCTTAATAAGGAGATGTTCTACTTCCCCTTTGTACAGCTGGAAAACATTTTGCAGCTCCAGCTCTGCAGTTTCAGCTTCTTGCCTTCACAGCCGCATATGTGGTCATTGTGGTTAGGCGTTTCTGCTATGTTAGCTTTTTTAAAACAACCTTAGCAATCATGTTTTAGTAATAATATTTAATTTGATTAACAAATAATAAAAATTTATTACAGCTTCTTTACTTGGTCTATAGACTTGTGCTCAGAGGGAATTGGACTGCTCAAATCCTGATCTAAACCCAGACAGCAGCTCTGGCAGGGATCCCTCCTGGCAGTGGGCCGGAGAGAGAAGAAAACCTGTATTTGAGCTAGCTGGAAAACTCTGGCTTGAGTCACCGGCTGCTCCTGGACATGGAGCTCAGCCGGGGCTGGTGCCCTGTGGGCTTTGCTGGTGGAACACAAAACATGGGATAATATTTGAACACAAAACATGGGCCAATATTTGAACACAAAACATGGGCCAATATTTAAACACAAAACATGGGCCAAGGCTTGCTCTGGTGGACAGGGGCTGCCCACCTTCAGTCCTGGCCAGGGTGCAGGGCCAGGGGGCTCAGGGGCAGAGGGTCTCGCTTTGGAGGTTTGGGTTTTATGACGCCCTCAAAACGGGGCTGCACCCGCAGCAAAGCAGATGGGGACAGAGCTGAAGCGCAGGGGTAACAGGTCAAGTGCTCGCTGACTAAAGTCTTTGTCAGGTCTTCTGAAGGTGCAGAGGTGCTCCTGAGCAGAGAGGAGGCGGCTGAGGCCCCATCTGCTCCTGGCACACAGGGCACCTCCTGCACACTAGGGAGCAGATCCAGGGGGGTCTGGGGAATAGGGTTTAGCTTTGGAGGTATAGGTTTTGGGACACCCTCAAAATGGGGCTGCAGCACAGCAGATGGGGACAGATTTAAAGACCGGGGATGACAGGTCAGCTTCTCGCTGAGTGGAGTCTTTGGCTGGTCTTCTGAAGGTGCAGATGTGCTCCTGTGGAGAGAGGAGGTGGCTGAGGCCCCCAGCTGCCGCTGGCACACAGAGACCCTCCTGCACAGCAGGGCCCAGAGCGGCCAAGGCTCCCCAGCACGGCTGCAGCTGCTGGCACAGCTTGGCCCAGCTGGAGAGCTGCCCCTCAAGGCCCCGGCGAGCAGGGGATGGCTCTGGGCAGGGTCCCTGGCCAGGAGCAGGCCCCAGAGCACCTCTGCCTTTCAAGGGCAATCTCGTTCCCGCTCTTCCTCCTGCCCACCTTGCTTTGCCTCTGCCTGCTGCTCCTGGGGCTGCTCTTGGCCAGGCAGCCTCAGTGGCAGCCAGCACTGGCTGCAGCCCAAGTGGGCTCCCCAGGACAAGGCCCAGCAATTAGGAGGCCAATAAAAGGGCTGAGCAGCAGCAGAACCCTCAGCAGAGTTATTTGGGCAACCAAGGACTATCCACAAGTCCACAGCAGCCTCACTGGGAATGTTTACTATGAGCAGCCTTTCAAGAAGCTGTTTGACGTAGAGATCAGCAAAACACTCACCCTTTTCTGTTCCAGCAATACCAGATTCCAGCACAGCACATCATCAGAAAAAGGGCTCCAGCAACCAAAATGGCCATTAGCTTAATCAAACCATGTGTTCCCGGGCTGAAAATTCTTCTCATGCTTTCCCAGATAGTCTGAGCATGAGTTGTGGTGCCGGCTGAATCTGTGGGAGCAATGGGCAGCGTGAGCCCGTGCTGTGCTCTGCTGCTGAGCTGGCAGCACGGTGGATATGGCCAGGATGTTCTCTGTTTCCCCCAGAGCTGGGGCCTGCAGGCACCTTGCCACCCCATTTTGCACAGGACATCTCAGTACCCAAAACCCCTGAGCTTGCATGGTATAATTCCTCTGCGCTGTGCTGGTCTTCTTCAGGCAATACTTGTCAAAGATATGGATAAGGATCAGGAACAAGCCCATGCTTTTGGAACTGCTCTGGGGCCCTCCCTCTTCCAAACACCCCCTATAGCTGATCTAGCCCGAGACCGAAAAATTTCAGGGGATCTCAGGATGTGCATGGCCTGTGATATACTTGGGGCTCCCTGTCAGCTGATGCCAAATGCCTTCCTGCAGAGGCTGGGGAGAAGCTGCAGCCAGGCCAGGCTGGGAAACAGCCCTGCAGGCTGTGAAAGCAGCAGAGGGGAAGTGAGGCTGCCATGGATCCCTTCCTGCTGTGCTGGGCACGGCGTGTCCAGATGTGCAGAGAAAGCCCCCGGCTGCTGAGTCTCAGGAGAAGGCTGAGGGACATGGACCCACCTTGTCCTCCCTGCACTTCTTTCTCTGTTGGTCTCAGGAAATCATTTGATGATAGAGACTTTTTGGTTCCATTATCTTGGGTCTTTCTTTTTGGAGGACCTTAACACAAAGTATTTCAATTTCCCAGGAATGGATCCCAAAAAACCAGTCCCCAGCCTGTGGGGTCAGGAGGGACACACCACTTACCCCTGCGATGGGAGCCAGGCTTGGGTGCAGTAACCACCTCAAGATCTGGGGAAGCGCTCCCTGCAGACACACCTGTAACTAAACAGCCACAGAAGCTTCTCTCATCTCTGCTGATCTGCACAGGCAGCTCTGAGCTGCAGGAGCTGTGAGGGGATCGCGCAGGCCAAGGGCACACACGTGCACGGCTCTGTCCTGGCACCTGCAGCGATGCTGCCCTGACCGAGCTCTGGGCTCTGAGCTGGCCGCTCTCCCTGGGGGAAAGGCCTTGACCTACCCTCACCACCTCTCTGAGGCTCAGTCCTGGGTGTGGGTTGAGAAGCTGCATCACCTTCACCAAGCGGCTTGGCTGCAAAGAAAGGCAGGACAGAACAGCTGCTGTGGCTCTATAGGAGATTCTCAGGGTCCCTGGGGCCAGCAACGGAGCCGTGCAAGGCACAGGCTCAGAGGCACAGCAATTACCTTGTGTTACTGTGCCTGGCATGGCCTCCCTTCCTGCAGCAGAGTCTGGCACAGAATCAATGATTCCTTCGGGAATGGTTTCCTGCTGCACAGGCTCTTGTTTCATTCCTGGAGAATGGAAGAGGGACAGCTGGATCAGATGGGGCTGCTCCTCATTGTGGAGGTGCC